GCAAGCATTTTGAAATGTGCCTGCTGACATCAGGTGCGCATTCTTGTGGGGGAAAGAGTGATTCCTGGATCCTGGCAGAAGGGCTGTTGCAGGTGCTTCCTCAGCCAAGGGAGGTTTGTTCGACCAGATCCCATCCAGAACCGTAGGCTCACAGTTTGGAAACAGCTGTAGACCAAGTGCTGTTCTTTGAGGCATCCTTTGCTTTCAAACTCAGCAGTTGGCTAATTCCTGAAGTTGGTATAGGATGCCAGCATGCCTGCCCACTCGCCTCCGTTGTGGACAGCCAGATGCCAGGGCTAGAAAAGGGTGTGCACGCGTGAGGAGAGAGCCCCTCTCTCGGCCTGCCTTGCCTCACTTTCCTAGCTACTCTCTTGCTAGCTTGGAACATGTGCTTGGAATTGGAAGAGAAATGGGAAAGGCATGGCAGTGCTGCTCTGGGCTGACGAGGTTTGTAAAGCAGGTCCCTGCATTTTGGGGATCAGGAAAGCAACGATTTTCTTTCAACTCGGTGTGCAAAAAGGAGAGGCTGGCGTTCGGTTGCTCTAAACCAGCCACAAATCATTAGACTTCTTCAGACACCAACCACCGCAGTCCTTGCTGATCTTTATCCTGAGACTCCCAGATGGTTTGGGTGCAGGAAGTCCCATGGGCTGCCTGGGCTGACATACCCAGCTGTTAAGTTCTAGGCAGGGCTTGTCTCATGTATAAAATCTGCCACCCTCTTGCCAGGCGGGGTTAATTGTGTTGTCCGACCCCATGAGGGGAAGCAACTTTCAAATAACCCATGGGCTGTTGCGGGCTTTCCTTCCCCATGGAACAAGCCAGGCCTCCCAGCCACAGTTGGACAGGTTAGTGGGATAAATGTGTCTCCCGGCATTCCCTGCCCATTTAAACCAGTGGCCTATTTTGACTATGTCGATTGGCCCATTTCGTCACCATCTTTTTCTGTCTACAGAACGTTTTGGAGGAAGGAGAAAAGGCGGGACAAAGCAGGGGGAAAGTGTGAGGTTAATGTTTGGAGGACAAAGTTCTCCAGCGCCCCATGAAATGATGTGACGGGGAGCCAGGACAGTGCTGGGAAAGCCGTGTCTAGAGGCATCCTTCCAAAAAAAGATGCTTGGCTCGGAGCAGTGCTGTACACACTTGCCCCCTAAGGACTGCACTGTAGGAGTGTGCACAACTAGGCCATTTGCTCGTTGTGTCTTTCTAGCTTTGCGCTTTCATTCTGCCTTTATTCATCCCCACCCACACGAACGCTGGGGAGCAAAGGAAGGCCCTGTGGAGGCAGGATTTTCTCCTGTCCCCGTTGCTTAGAAGTAATGCTGTACTGCATCTGTGGTCAAGATTTCAGAGACAAGGCAGCAGTTGCAAATATACTCTAAACCGTTCTTCACAACGTGCAGACTTGCGCCGGCTCTGTTGGACATGGGACAGGCACGTCAGTGATGAAAACATGCTCTTCTTGGGCTTTGTTGTTTGCATTTAGAGCGATAGCTTCGAACATGCACCTTGCGCCACAAGTAGCTTTGCTCAGGTTGTCTTTGTGCCGTTTTCCTTGTGCACAGGTTGTGTGTGTTCTGCCTCTGGTGGGAAGCAGTGGGGTCACAGGCAGAGTGGAGCAGAGGCTGAAGAGGGCTATGGCGGCAGCTCGTTGGATGTCTGTGGATATTCCCAGTCTGGCCGTGCACCCCGGGGGGGGGGGGGGGGCTGGCTTGGGCAAGAGGGTTGCTTCCCTTTTGCTTGCAGGTTGTGTTAATGCTGATCCCACAGAGCCGCAGAAGCACCTGGTGGAGGCAGGGAATTCGCGGGTTGTGGCTAATCAGATAGGATAAGGTCTGCTGGAAAAGATTAGGTGGGGGAGGCAAGAACTAGGGCCTGCCTTATCTGGGTGCTGGCACAACTCCACAGTGCACTCCTGGTTTTGCAGCTGAATAAATAGCATAAGTCTCTGTAAGAAACAGGAGTTTTCCCCAGTTCATAGAAAGTGGAAGAGCAGTCGTGAATGGGAAGGGAAGGGGGCTGCCCATTTCTTCGGCTGTTCGCTTATTGCCCTCTTCGCATTGCTTTTCCATGCGGCTCCTATAAAAAGCCATCAAATATCAGGTGCAGGGGAAGTATGGAGATGGGGGTGGAAGGAAAACGGGCCATCTGCCCCATCCGTTGCAGCAGCAGGTGGTGCTGAACTTACACATGTGGTGAGTTTGCGTCAAGAGATCGAAGACACTGAAACTAACGTTTGCAGTGATGGGTGATGTGAGGCGAGGCATAAATTCATAGCACGGAGCTGGTTCTCCCTTTGACTTGCTTACGTGTGCTCTGGATTCTGGGGAGCTGCGTGTGAGAAATGCAGGGTGAGACTCAGTAAGGTCCCATGGCAGGCGACCCGAGGGAAAAAGGGGCCCAGGATAGGTGGGGACGTTTAGAAAAGGAAAATTTGAAGGCAAGATTGCAAACAATTCCAAGAAAAACAAAAGATAGCAGAAGAAACCATTATGCCTCCACAAAAACTGGAGTTGAGCTAAAACCAAAAAAGGACATTTCTAGGAAGAGGAAGGGAGACCAAGTGACAAAGGAGAGGGCAGAGAAGTGCGGGAATGACCTCGCGGGGAGGCCGAAACTGAGAATGAGGTGAGGCTGGCAAGGTGGCAAGGCCATCTTCGTAACATTTACAAGTCAGTGCATATGCTTTGCACATGATTTTTGCATCGTTTTCCAGGGCCTGGAAACAGGTAAAAGTGGCACCAAAGTAGCAGCAAAACAGGTGTGGGGACAGCATCTCTGTGCCATTGAAACCCTCTTGCTCTTCAGTGCTGAACTGACCGTTCTCAGCACTCCTCACCTTTTCAACACCTTCCATCTACATCCACTTCAGAAAGTGGCTATTTTGCACTTCCTCCTTGCCAGAGCATTTCCTGCTTCAAAAGTTAGCCAGGTTTTGCAGTTCCCTAATATTTAAACACACACAGAGAGAGACGTACACAAATGTAGTGACTGAGAAGTACATGGTGGGAAACTTGGTAAAATTGAATGGCAGGAAAGGAAATGGAAAGGAAAGGCACACCTTGCGTTACCACTCCATTGCCGCAGCTGTGCTGAGTGTCCCTCCGTTTGCTTCCTCTGCATTACGTTTGCATTTGTAGATTTTTCAGGATTGACAGGGAACCGCAATGTCCGCAGCAGCAGGTGCTCCAGAAAAGGAGCCAAGTAAATGAGAAGGAGCCAAATCTAGATGATCCTAGAGGGATCCCGTTGCTGAGGTGACTGGAGACTTGCAAGAGTCTTGGAAAGGGCAGGGGCTTTGTGAGCAGTCGGGCCAGTGATTAAAATCTCCGGGGCTGCGCTGCAGGGTGGGCGAGGATGGCACGGTTCCTTGGGATGCAGCTGCTTTCTCCTCGCACGGTTTACGGGGCTTTTCACTGGGCGCCCGGCAACTTTGCCCCGATTAGCCTAGATGCGTCTTCGGCTGCCCTCCCTGGACATGTGAAAGGCCCACGGGGCTGCGCATCTGTGCGCCTGCGAAGGACCAAGGGTTCTCTTTAAAGGGCCATTCCTAAGTGCAGAATCCTGGTCAGGCTGCGGGAAAGCCGTGTGAATGCAGAAGAGGAGTCCTGGCAGTGGGGGGCGGAAGCCAGGGTGGGCTTGCTGCAAAGGATCGTGGGATTTGTGCCAGAGCCAGTGAAGAGAGCCAGGTGGGAACGCCACCCATGGTGACGCTGAGGCAGGAGTGGGCGGAAGGGAGCTCTCCCGCTGTTTCGGTTCAGGCTCCCTGCCTTCCTGACCCCTGGCCACATGCCAGGCGCTAGACGTTATGGGAGCTGCGGCCACACGGGGGGGTCTCGCTTCTGCCCACCCCGGCCGGAGAAATCGGCCCTGGCCTTCACAGTGCTTTTGGAGCCCTCCAGTGCTGGTGAAGAGACCTTGTGAAGGGCAGGGCAGGGCAGGGCAGGGCAGGGCTGGAGAAATTCTATTTTATTTATTTACTTAGAATGTTTGTATGCCATCCCAGCGCCGGAGCCTCCGGACGGCTTACATAAAATAAACAAACAAAATACATAGTGCAAATGCCTCTTCCCAGTGCCTGTCCCCAGCCAGGAGATGCCCGACTGCCTCCCCCCCTCCCAGAGCGGCGGCAGTGGCTCCTTGAAGGACCGGTCGGGGCTGCCCCCCAGTTGCTCACCTGCACCCGCCTCAAGAGCTGCAGGTGATGCAGCAGGAGGGGCTTGGCAGGAAGGAGCCGAGAGCGGTGCCCTTGCAATGCCACGGCACCGGTGCCAGCCCTCCGCGTTGGAGGAGGAGGCGGCGGCAGGGAGAGGAGGCCCCCGGGGGCTTCCTGGCGAGGGCCCCCTGCCCCGGCTGTTTCCAGGCTGCCCTACGGGGCTGAGGAAGAGGTGCAGAGGCCGGCATCCCTGCCCATTGAGGGGCAGCGTGGCGCATCCCCTGCGTGTCCCACGTGGAGTGCGGCTGGCGCTGATCCTGTGCGCCACGGCCTCGTCTTCCCCCACGCAGCCATCTCCCTCCTCCTCCTCCTCCTCTCCGGGGCGCAGGAAAGGGCCCTTGGTGCAAATGGCAGCCCCCCCCGCGCTGCGCCGCCCCTCTCGTCGGCGCGGGAGGGGTTCTTGCGGCGGCGGCCCGGGCGCTCCGGAGCGCCTGTCCCGTCCCCGGCAGCCGGAGCGGGGGCTCGCGGCTGTCGCGGGGCGGCGCGGGGCCCCGGCGGTGCAGGTGACCCTTCCTGCGCCGGCCGGCCGGGGCCGCGCCGCTCCAGACGCGCTCCTGACGGCCCCGGCGGGGGCGTGCCCGAGCAGCCGGGCAGCCAATGGGCGCTGCCCTCTTCGCATGCATTATCCCGGGTGCTGGCGCCCCGCCAGGTTTCGGTTGGCGGGCGGGCGGGCGCGCTGCCACGGAGCCGGAGATCGATTTTGCGCAGCGGCGGCGGCGGCGGCGGAGGCAGCATCTCCATCTTCGCGGGCGCCCGCCCGCCCGCCCGCCGCGTCCCTCCTGCGCCGCCGCCGCGGGAGCGCCCCGGCCCGCTCTTGCATGACTGCCCGATGGTGTAGGAGGCCGGGGGCGATGGATCTCGGGGTCTACCAGCTCCGGCACTTCTCCATTTCCTTCCTGTCCTCCCTGCTGGGCGCCGACAGTTCTGCCCTGCGCCTCGACAGCAGGTAACGAGCCGGCGGCCTCCCCGCGGCGGGCGCTCTGCGGCGGGCGGCGGCCCCCTTTGTTCCCGGGCGGGCGGGGGCGCCCCCCGGGCTGCTGCAGCCCCGCGCCTGCCGCGCCGCGCCGCTGCCCGCTTCCTGGCCCGGGGGCGGGGGCTGCCGCGGGGCCCGGGCCCCCTCCCGCACGCCCCTCCTAACGCGCCCCCTTCTCCCCACCCTCGTCTCTCTTGCAGCTCTTCCGGCGCCAGCGTCGTCGCGATAGACAACAAAATCGAGCAAGCCATGGTAGGTGCGCGCTCGGCTCCCCCGCTCCGCTCCGCTCCGCTCCGCCCCGGGGAACGCGGGTGGGGGGCGCCGGGCCGGTTCGGGCCGGGCCGGCCGCCGCGGGCCCCCTCGAGGGCTTGGCGCGGTCGTGCGGAGGAGAGGCGGGTGCGGGGGGCACCAGGCCCCGCGCGCGCACCCCTTGCCTGGCCCTCCTGCCGCAGGAGAGCCTCTGGCTTGGGGGAGCGGGGGGCGCCCCGGGAAGGAGGCATTCGGGCTGCTGCCGGAGCCCCCGGGCATCCTTCCCGCCCCTCCCCTCCCCTCCCCTCCCCCACCCAAGGGGCGGTCCGGGCGCCGGTGGGCACGGATCGGCCGCAGTCCTTGCAGGAAGGCTCTGGGGGCGTCAGGCGCGCCTCCCCTTTTGCTGCGCGGCTGTCGCCTCCGCGCTTTTGTTGCCGCCGTGCGGGCCGTTCTCACGGGCTCCTCGCGCCCCCCCCCCTCCTCCTCCTCCGCTGTTGCTAGGCAAACTCCGAGCTGCGACTCCCGGCTATTAATAGCCCGGCCCGAGGATTGGCTGCGGCGCCTCGCACGCGGCCTGCCCCGCTCCGCTTGACGTCACCGGGATGGTGGGGGAACTGCGGCACTGAGCCTGCCGTGCGGTGCCGTGCCCTGCCCTCCGAGAGCGCGCTGGGGCTCGCAGGGTGGGCCGCGCGGTGCCGGTGCCCGTGGCCTGGCCGGCCGCCCCCGTGCCGGGCTGCGGGGGGTCGCGGTCCCGGAGGCCTCGGGCCGGCCCGTTGCCCCACGTCCACCGGTGGCCGGGGCCAGTCCCCGCCCCGCCTCAGCCCTGCCCCAGGGACGGGAGCAGCCCGGCCACGGAGGAGGCGCACCAGGTGGCTTCTCCCGGGGAAAGGGCCGTCCCCTCGGAGGCCTGACCCCTTTCCGCCCGTGCCGGTTGGAATGGCAGGAGGCCCGTGAGCCCCCCACCCCGCTTGTCCTTTGCACGGGCGCCTCCCCCATCGTGGCCTTGCGTGGACGGCAAGCCGCACGCAGCCCCCGCCGGCCGCACGAGGACGCTGGACGGGGCCAGCACGACATCTGACGTTCCCGTGCTGAATCTTTTGCCCGGGAGCCGAATGGACAGGTCCTGCCCCACGTTTGCCAAGCCAGCAGGGGATGCGGTGTGGGGGCGGCCCTTGCGGTTTGGGTCGGGCTCTTCGTTCCCCCGTGTGGCTAACTCACACGGCACCTGTTGCACCCTCCTCTAAGGCCGACGTGGAGTCACAGTCGTTTGGGAAGGCCTGCATGCACGAGGGATACGCTAGGCGGGGCCGGCGCTGCACGGGCCAAGCCAGGCCTCCTCCTGCAGCCGCCTGTCCCTGGAAAGGAAAGGCCAAGCCGGGGCGCGCAGGGGCAGTGGCGGGGCTCGGCTTCAGCACTGGGGGAAGATGCCGCGGAGGGAGCATCCCTGGGGATCCCAAGCCAGGTGCCTCCGGCCCGCCCTCGTGGGACCTCCGGCCCTTGCCCCACGGTCCTCTCCGTGACCTCTCTCCCTTCTCTCCTTTCCAGGATCTGGTGAAGAGCCACCTGATGTATGCGGTCAGGGAGGAGGTTGAGGTCCTCAAGGAGCAAATCAAGGAGCTGATCGAGAAGAACAACCAGCTGGAGCAGGAGAACAACCTTCTGAAGACGCTGGCCAGTCCCGAGCAGCTGGCCCAGTTCCAGGCACAGCTGCAGACGAGCCCATTGTCCGCCGCCCCCCAGCCCCAGGGGGCCCCACCGCAGCCCCCCCCAGCCTGCCCCACAAGGCTCGGGGCCTTCCGCATAGCCCGTGACACCTGGGCCCATGTGCGCCGGACTCTGCTGAGGCAGGACTGCCGGGAATCCATGTCGCCCACCCCGCCACTGCATGCCACCGCCCACCGTGAAGACCCCGCGGCGCCCCTTGCATCCAGCCGCAGGCCAGTTGCTCTCCCAGTATTAAGCTGTTCACCCGGCGCGGGGGGCTTCCGTGTCTTTGCGTCTTTCCGTTGGGGGGTCTTGCGTACGTTCCATGAGTTAGCACAGACGGACGGGGGCTTGAGCAGGTGGCCGCTCGGATGCTGCTGCGGCGCAGGGCTCTGGGCGCCCAACGCCTTTCTGCTCAGCCTCGTCCTCCCACCGAGAGTCGTGGCTGACGCAGATGCTGCCCGGCATGGAGCATGAGGAACTCGGCCGGGAGGGCGGGATTGGAGACGCATTCCACACCCTTCGCCAAGAGGCCGGAGCAAGGACGGATGGGGAAGGACCTCGCGAACAAGCACGGGGGCAAGTCAGTGCTGGCTCTCCGTGCCTGACGCAACCGTGACGTGCACACGTGCAGCCGTTTTTTCTGTAGCCAAGGAGGGTGTGTGAGCATTTCTAAGAGGAAAGCAGGTAGGTGCCGCACGGCTGCGACGCAGGATCATGAAAATGAAGGCTCGTTTGTGTGATGTACATTTGTGTATTTAGTGTAATTACTTTGTAAAATAGGCCTTGTAACTAATTAAGTTGTACAGAGTGAATTTAAAAGGATGAACTGAATTGAGTTTGAATAGTTTTTTTATTTTATTTTTGATGCTACACGAATAAGAGTTGTACCTACCCAGCTGTTCAGGAATTGGCTGGTTGACGCTGTCGATGTAAGTTCTGGAAATTGCCTTGAAGCTGAATCCCCCGAAGTCAGACTCTGTTCACTATCATGCAATTTCATGGAACAATTTCTCATCCTCTGCTCTCCCCTCTCTCTTGCCTTTGATCTGTATAGGAGTATGCCTTCTTTCCAGTGCATGTTCTCGAGGGGTGGAAAGGAAAACTGTAAAATGTCCGTATATTTAACTATTGCACTTCTCAACTTCCAATAAAGCATAAAATGTTGCTATAGAAGTCGTGGCTCGAGGACAGCAGTGCCTTCCACTTCAGTTTTGCATGTCGATGTCGAAGTGCGTTATGTGGGGTGGGCCGTGGGGGATGTGTTTGAAGAGGTAGATACTCCCCTTTAAAGGTGGGCCTCATCCGGTTTTAATCCAGCAATGGCGGACCTTGATTTGGAGCGGAAGAGTTGGCTGCCTTCCCTCTCCTTTTCTGCCCAGTGTGGAGGCAGATGATCGACAGCCGGCTGTCTCTTAGCAGCAAGGTAGCCACCGTGGCTGATGACCTGCTTGCCCTCGGTAGCCCGTAAGAGGTGGAAAATGCCTCTCGGAGTTGCTTGGAGTTTTCTGAATGGATCGTTCCACTGTGGCATTTGGACTGTAATCATGATGTGGGGCGTTCAGAAACAGCAGCCCTTGGAAGTGCCCCAAGCCCTTTGCAAGCATCTTTTGGTGCAGCCTTTCTTACGGGGTCCTGGGAAGGTGAGGCTGGCCTCCCTGCACGGTGCAGAGGGGCAATGGAGGCGGAAAGGCCGCCTGGCAAAGCCCTTGGAGGGAGCTTGTTGCGGAGGGGGGTGTCTGTTGGAGACCCTCCAGTTTGTCGCTCGAGCCACTTCGCTGCTGGGGGACGAGGTTGATCAGGGGTCTGCAAACGAAGCCTGTGAGAAGAGGTTGAAAGAACCGGGCGTGTTTAGCCTGAGGAGGAGCAGAATGGCCGTCTTCAAGGACTTGAAAGGTGGGTTGGGGGTCTCTTCTTGGTCATCTCAGAGTGCAGGTGTGGGGAACGGGCTGGAGTGCCTGGAGCCAGGCCCCCACCGGACACCGGGAAGAACTTCCTGGCTGTGGGGCCAGTGGTCTGGGGAGGCGGTGGGCTCTCCCACACTGGGGGCATTCCACGTGCAACTAAGCAGCCCCCCGAGATCCTGCATGCAGCCGGGGTGGGACCGGGCGGCCCCCCCGGCCCCCAAGCTGGGCCATTCCATGAATCTATGATCTTATGGATTTCGCCAGCGTTCCAGGAAATGCAGCTGAACCAGGGATATTTACTGAAGGCATTCTTGCTTCCTAAACCCCTTTGTCCACCTTCTGGGGACGGGATGCCCAGCCTTCGCGACACTCATCGAAGCCCGGGAAGGGCAGCGGTCCATTGGGACAAGGCACAGCATGTTTAACAAAGCATTGCTAGCTGGAGATGTTGGGAGATACCCCAGAGCACTAGGTGGGGGGAGCCGGAAGTGCATCCAAACCCCAATGGAGGACCCCCTCCCCAAGAAAAGAAAGATTGCTCAGAGTTGGTGAGGGACCGTCGTGTTTCCTGTGCATGGTCTCTAAGATGGCGTTTATCATTTCCAACTGGAAAAAGAAGGCAGCGTTGTTGGTAGTTGCCCTGTTTGAGATTAAGGTTCTTGAACTCCAGAGGAAGATCATAGAGGGCAACCAACATTTTAATATGATTTTTTCCAGTGGAAGGGAATGCTTCACAGCAGGTGAAGCGACCTGCTCAAAAGTTCTCTGTTTGCATAGAAATCCGTGCCATCAGCACCTTAACTCTGCTGCAGTCCCTTTTGGCCAAAGCGTCCACTGGAATTGATTGATTTTTCAAAAAATTGTATATCACCTGCAGCTGCCAAAATGAAGGATTTGAAGTGATTGTAAGTCAGTTTCGCTATTAGCAGGACCTCCCTTGTGCATCCAGGAGAATTACATCCTCAAAATCCATTTGATGCTTCAATATAAAGCATAACTTTGTTCAACGTGTATTTACCTCTCTGTTGTTCACCTGCTTTTCTTTCTTTCTGCAAAGATTTCCGCTTCAGTTGTCCTTTCGTGTTCTTGCATTTTGATGCACTTCTGACATTTGAGTCAATCCTAAAAGTTACTTTGCTATTTGAGGTTGGGAAAAATTGTGGAAGGAGAATCGGTTTATGGCTGTAAAGCCAAAGTCCTCACTTGCGTTCTCTCTGGAGCGGCTTTGGGCCTTCCCCCCATGTGCATCGCAGCGCAACCGCACGGTGTATTGTGAAAATGCTCACTCTCGGCACAACCTACCTCACAGGGTTGTTGTGAGGATAAACAGTTATGGAAGCCGCCTTGATATTAAACCAATATGCAGTGGTACCTCGGCTCACAAATGCCTCAGTTCATGACCAAATCGGGTCGCGAACAGAAATTACATTAAAAAATGGTTGCAGGTTGCGAACTCTGCATCGGGTGACGATCGCGAGCCGCCCACCTTCCCTGCACGGGCGGAATCATGTCGTGCTGGGGGGAGATGGCCGCGATTGCACCCGAGTTCCCTGCCCGGGCGCACCCAAGCCCGCACCCACTCCCCCAGCGCGCCCACGATCGCGCCGTCTCCCCCCACCCCCCTGCATGATCGCTGGGGGGGCAGGAGATGGCCGCAATCTTTGTTGTTCTTTGTCACTTTGCTTCAAATTTTTGTGAGTAAAAAAAAAAAAAAAATAGAGTCCCGGAACGGATTAAGTTCGTGGGCCAAGGCACCACTGTAACAGTGGGATTGAAATGCTACATAATAATGATATGAATGCCTCTCCTAGCATTTTCCAGTTAGCCAGGCTAACCTGGGAATGGGAGGCCCCTTTTCCGTTTAAATATCCATACGACTGTACCTTCATCTTCCTTTTAAAAGCATGTGCACCTTGTGACAGTGAATTCTGTAAGTTCATTAATCATACGTCCTGTGACGAATTTCCATTTGCAATAATGTGCATCATCGAATCTGTCTCAACATTTCTCCTGCCTTCGTGACGCCGGCTTCTGCCCTCGCTGCACTCCAGCGGAGCGAGATCCTCGTCCATCTGTGCCAATCCGCGGACATTTGTTCTTTTGGTCTGTTCTGAGCTCGTTCTTCGCCCAGTGGCTTGGGCTGACTGTAAGCTTTATCTGGACAATTGGAGGTCGGCTGCAGAGTCTCTGTCGTCGTGCGGTTTCTGCAAGTTGTGATGAACTCTTAAACTGCTTCACCAGTTGGGTGCAAGAGAAGCGAACGAAGCATAATAATAAGCAATAATCACGATAGAAAGCAGTGCAGAGGGGAAAACGGGGTTTAAAAAGTTTTGTATGCTTTTCAATTTTACACTGAAATAGCATCTCAGCTTACAGCAACATTTCGAAAAGCACTTTGGAAGATGCCTCTGGCCTTCCCCATTCTCTCTCGTGTTCAGGGGTAAGTGCTGGTCTGTATAATTGCGAAATGGTGCCGCCCATCTCTGGCTCGGCAGCACTGCGTGGTTTTTGGAGGGACAGCCAACCTGGTGAACGAAAGCTCCATGGGGACCCCCCACCCAAGCAGGTGAGCGCCCCGGGTGAGCCCCGGGGAGCATGCAAGGCTTTGGGGGGGGGGGGGACTAGGCAGGGATGTCTCGCTGGCGAGCTGCTTGCTTACTGCAATGTTTTGTTGCCTGTTCAGTGTAAAACTGTCTCTTCTGGATGGGCACTGAGAGCCCTTTTACCAAGAGCAAAGAAGACCTCAAATGCACACACACTCGTCGTGAGCAGGAATGAGAATGTGGGTCTCGTTCCTCACAGAACCAACCGATCTGTGTTTCCTAAATACTTCCTAAAAAACGGATTCTTGTCCTTATTGCATAGGTAGTAGATGACGGTTTTCCTGCAGCATCCCGTGGGCACGGAACTCGCTGATGGATGTATGTATAATATTTGTATGCTGCTTACTGTGCTGTAGAGCCTCCAGGTGGCTCACAATCAGAATTAAAACCATTATAAATTTAATCATACACTAATACAACAGCATCAATTAAAAACAGATAAAATAGTGGAATGCAATATCCCCGTGCTTTGCTGTTTTTCATTGCATCGTTTTCCAGACTTGACCAGCTGACGCAGCTGCCTGGACTGAGCCTCGCCCCGCTTCACTTGCTGGAACGCGTGTGGATCCCGACAACGTCCTCGTAATGCCCCACATCTGGAAGGCCCCTGGTCTGGGAGGGCTTTTCTAACCAGCTCGTTTCCGAACTGAGCGTGAGCGGGCAGCTGCAGGTCCTTGGAAGGCCGCCTGCG